AAACCAACAAATAGTTTGGTATTATAATAAGAAATGCATTCAATGTATACCTAAATTAATAACACATTGTTTTCATACCTATTTTGATAATATTTATTACTATTCATTAAAATATATATATTTTTTTGAATTATTTAAAAAAAATAAACTATAATATATTATTTCATATAAATGTTTAAAATCTTGACTTTTTGACCTAAGTTTTTTAATTATATTAATATATATATTTCATAAATAATAAACTTATATTTAGAAAATTATATACGAGGTCAAAAGTTGTATTTTTTTTATTGAATTTGTTTTGTAGTTTTAAAATCGATGTTTTTATACCCATTATACATATATTCTATTATATCGTAATTATCATCTCCTAACCAGATATATCATAGGCCTTCGAGTGATTGAAATGCAATTAGTACCAGTTAAGTTCATGTTTGGTTTGAATGAATGGAATTGATTTGGGGGGATTTATATTTTAAATTCATTTTAATCCTATGTTTGGTTTGTTGGATTGTCCGGATTTGAAATTCTAGGATTTAATTGAAATCCTTCAAATATAGGATTTTGAAATACTTAGCGAGTGCTCGGGATTTTATGGGATTTTGTAGGATTGTATGCAATAAGATTTTAGAAAATGTTAAAAATATTTGTTTTGTAATAGTCGATTGATAAAAATGTAATTCAATTATTTTTATTTTTTTTCTATAAATTATTTATAAATAATGACACCTAGTTCCATTCCAGATCCTACAAACCATACACACCAATGATTTCAACATTCCAATCTAAATCTCTCAAAATCCAAATCCCTCCATTAAATTCAAATCCCTCAAAAAGCAGTTATGCAAACCAAACAGACTATATTCTTTCATATTTGTTTTTAAATTTTTACTGTAATCCGTTTATTGCTTAAAATCATAACAGGGCATCCGCATATACACACACATACGCACATATAGATACAAAATTGGTTGTATGTAAGTAACGATTAAAAAGATGTCTTGGATAATTTTTATGGATTTTTTTTAGTCTGATGTAGAAAGACGAAAGAAAAATATATGTTATTATGTCTTATAATTTTCCGTTAACGTAAAATACTCTGTACATGCCACAAGTGATATTTTGTCCTCGTGTATGACAGTATGGTTTCACTCATATGATGCATCATTGTGTTAGAATGATTTCGTTTTTACTCTGTGTATGTTTTGTCTGGTTTTTTTGAAGTATATAATATTTATATACGACAAATGCAACAAATAAACTCAAACACCTTYCCCATCTTTGGTAAAGTTTGAACCCCTGACCTTATAGGAGGGCAAAGACTACGATACCGCTAGACCAAAAGCTCTTTGATTGTTTTGTCTGATTTTACCGTGTGTGTTTTGCCCATTTGTAAATTCTCTATATTTGTTTAATATAAACTTTCTCGTTTATTTTAACCCTGTTTCCGTTTAATCCTAACCATAGATTAATGTGTGTGTATAGATGGATGATATAAGTCTTTCATGCATCATTAAATGCACACCAATGCATTTGCATCAACCATTGCTAAAAATCTAGAGGGGGTTATATGGCTATAACCATATTTAAAAGGGTGCGGAAAAATATATAGAAGATATTAAATTAATTATTAAAAAAATCAGTACTGATTTAATAAACCATTTTATAAATTTCTAAGGGGTCGTTTACTCAAATGCTTACCCGGTAGGTATTTATCGATAGGAGTCAACACTACAATTTATTTTTATGGGTAAAAATTATAGTGCGTCAAAACGATATAGTATGCAACAATTACTCGGTAAGCGCTTATTTTGATCATCTCTCTCAGTGATTTGATGATAATCCCTTTTCACTTATACGTTGTATTTATGTTTCTGTCTTTTCAGTTCCAGCGATCTTCACTGAGTATGTTCAGTGATCGCTGAAGAACTTGCATTGTAAATCTATCAGAGACAACAATACTTCAAGAAGACAACACTCACACCAAAGAACCTTTAGCAAACCTTCAGCGATCAAAGGAAGCTTGTTTAGCACGATTATTGTTGTCTTGTCCTTATGCACACAAAGGACAAAACCCATACCCTTATGAAAGTTGGTACGGTACGGAGCCGACTAGTCGACTCTATTGTCCACCAACTTTAGGTAAGGATGTTTGCTCATTAATAGTGCTTTTTATACTATTCACTGTAGCAAATGACAAGCCTCCCTCTTAAGGCTTGACACGCACTATAACCCTACCATATTGCATTAAATGTTCATTTAATGCACCGAGTATAAATAGAAGTGTTTCTTCTCCATGCAGAGTGCGCGCAACTCACTCTCTAACCCTAATTCTTACTTCAAACATTTTCTAGCTTAAGTAAATGATATTTTCTACATCATTTCTTTTATTGTATTTGCTAAGACTTGGTGTGTAACTAAAGATTGTTTAGATATGTTTTTACTACCTTATCTTTCCGCAAACAATCTTGTAAAATCTGTATTAATCTTTTTTATCAAATATATATTTTAAATTTGAAAATATTGTGTTTGTATTCATCCCCCCCCCCTTTTACAAACTGTTTCTCTTCTTGTAGACCCTCACGGGACCAACAACTTACCTGATAAGAGTTGTCACTCTCACTTACTGGGTAAAACTCTCTATCCTTTCACCATTTTTACCGGGTAAGACTCTCCATTCTTTTACCGCTCTAACCGGATAAGATTCTACCATGTTAATCTGGTAAAAAAAATTACCCGGTAAACACTTACTGGATAATCGTTTAGTAAACGCCCACTAAGTTGAGATTTAAATTTGATCCAAACAATAATATACTAAGGTCCCGTTTGGTTTGAAGAAATGAAATGGATTTGAGGGAATTTGTATTTCAAATCCATTCTAATCGCATGTTTGGTTTGTTAGATTGTCCAGATTTGAAATCCTAAGATTTAATTAAAATCCTTCAAACATGGGATGATAGGATTTTGAAATCCTTAAGAAGTGCTCGAGATTTTATAGAATTGTATGTAATAAAGTCTGAAAAAATGTTAACAACATTTGTTTTGTAATAATCGATTAATAAAAATATAATTCCATTATTTCTATAATTATTTATATATTTTTTTATAAATAATGAAATCCAATTCTATTCCAAATCCTACAAACCAAACACACCATATAATTTCAAACTAATTCCAATCCAAATCCCTTCATGAAATCAAAATCGGTCAAAAAACAATTATACAAACCAAACGAACCCTAATGAATTTTCATAACCCTTTTAACTCCCAAGTTTAAATATTTTTATAAAAGTGTTTTGAATGTAATTTTTTAAATGATTATTTTGATATTTAATCAAGTAAATTTACATTTAATTAAAAAAAATATTTCATCTGTCTCAAAATAAGTATCCATAGTGGAAAAAATTACAATTTAGAAAAATATAATTATTAAACTTTAAATGAACCAAATCACAATTTTATTCTTAATAAAAGATGGAGTAGTTAATTTATTCATCTCATAATTACAGATAAAATGGTAAAGTATACACTTATTTTGTGACAAAAATAAAAATATGAACACTAGGGGTCGTTTACCAAACATTTACCCAATAAGTGTTTACCGGTAAAATTTAACTCTATTATTACTTATGGGGTAAGATTTTAGTTCACAAAAACGACATCGTATGCAACAATTTACCCGGTAAGCACTGACCATTGTAAGAGTTGTCGCCCTCACTTACCAAGTAAGATTCATGGTCCTTATCTTGCTCTTACCGGATAAGATTCCTGGTCCTTACCATATTCCTCCAGTGAGGTAACATGACTTGGTAAACGCTTACCCGGGTAAGTGTTTGGTACACGACCCTTTTTTTTTGGACAGAAGAATACGTGTTTTGTTATATAGAGGTTCAACCGGATGCTAGTTATGACAAATTGATTATTAAGTAGAGTACGATACACATATACCCAAGGTTTTAAAGAACGGAAATGAGTCTCGAGACATTTTCCCCATTAGGTACATGAGGCGTAAGCCTCGAAGATTTTAAATATTGAATTTGATTTTTGACGGATTTCAGAATTTTGTCAATTTAGGGGCCGTTTATTAAATGCTACTCGGTAGGTGTTTATCGGGTAATTTTTCTCACTGAATGAACACGTCAAAACCCAAGAATCTTACCCGGTAAGAGTGATCATAAGGATAGAAAGTTTTACATGGTAAGTGAGAGTAATGACTCTTACCTGGGTAAATGTTAACCAAGTAAATTGTTGCATATCATTTCATTTTGATTTACTACGATCTTATCCATAAAATAAATTATAGTGTTGACTTATAACGGTAAACGCTTACCGGGTAAGCATTTAGGTAAACAGCCCCTTAGATTATGCCGTCAATTATGAAAACTAAAAACACAATGGCTTGGACGAACTTTTCATTAATTGGGTCATACAAGTTGAGCTTACAACATGAAAACTAAATACACTTAATACACACACACACACACACACACATATATATATATATATATATATATGTGTGTGTGTGTGTGTGTGTATGTGTACTTTTGGTGGTCGGTTCGGTCCAAACCGCTCAAAAATACTTTGAAAGCATAGACCAGACCAAACTGAATGATTTGGTTATTTTTCAGATCAGATCAAGCCGTCGTACCACGCAAACGGCCAAAAATGATCTGGTTTAACAATTTTCTTGAACAACCCTAAAAAAATAGCAATAAATATGAAAATCATAATTTCGAATTAAAAAAACATAAATCCACAAAGTTTAATAAACCACAGGGATGAAAAATGTAATTTACTCTTTTTATTTTAGGATTAAAATAATATTTATTTATTTTTCATAAAAAAAGAAAAAAGAAAAAAGAAAAAAGAAAAGGGGAAAAGGGTCCCCATAGCCCTCAGCCTGGTCTTCTCCCCCAGTCCCATTGTTACCCATTCATCAGATCAGCCGTATGCTAATAAATAGCCCCCAAATCCAAGCCCCCCACACACATACACTACAAAACACACACAGAAAAAAAAGGTGTGTGTGTGTGTGAGAATCGGCGGTTTGCACACTTCTCCACACACTCGCTTCTTTTTGGCTTCTTCGCATTCCCAATTCTACGTATGTTCTCTAATTTTTCTCTTCAATCCATCTCAACGGCTAGTTTCGATTGTAAATTCTAGACCAGAGAATTGTATTGTAGTGATTTGTTTTGTGTTTGATTTGCTTTGGTTGTCTGCAGATTTGATTTGATTGTTTACTTGAATGGAACACAACAGGAATGACAAGTACGTGATAATCCTTTTCTGTTGTTGCTGTATTTGATGATTTTTTTGCTTGTTAAAAGGAAAATGTAGGTGGATTGTTTTGATATTGTGTTGTTTTGATCGTTTTACGACTTGCGATTTGCTTGATTTCGTGAATTTTGAGAGTTTTTACGTAGTCGTAGTTGAATCGAATCCGGTCAGATTAGTTTCGGAGTGTTGATTTGATTCGATTTTGCTGGATTTTAGCAAGTTTATGAAGCTTTTTTGGATTCGTTGAGGATTTGAGATGATATCCAGGTGAATAAAATGTTCATAGAGATAGATCGTGTCTAATATAAAATAAAAAAAACAATTTAAGTCGGTATTAATGATGATATTTTGGTCAACTTTTAATCGGTTGTAGCAATTTCAATCATTTAATTTTATGATTCATCGAGTTTTCTACTTGATTTGCTTGATAGCGAAGTGATTTAAATGTGTTTAGTGATTGATAGATCATTTCAGGCTTGTTTTAATGATGATTTTCCAGCTTTAAATTCAGATTTATGTTTCTTCGTGACAGATCCAGCACTAAATGTATGCATTATCTCTTTGCATATTATATCCAATTTAATATATAAATCAAGAAATTAATTGCTATTTTATGCCTTTGATTAATCACTTTAATTGTGTTTAATCTTAATTTTGTTTTTCTTAACACGAATTCCAGGCGTTTGATGTTTTGTTTATATTCATCTGAATGCCTTGTGGTGTGTGTTTGAAGTGTTAGCAATTATGACTTTGTAATGTAATGTTGTTACTGAAATCTCTTTTATATGAGTTGTAGTGATGAAATGTGGGACTGGAAAGGCGAAGATTACGGTTTGCAACTAGGTAAGACTTGTAATTTTGTTATATATACATATATACACACTTTCAATTTGCATAAATATACGAATCATTTGGCGGGGGCAGATTGTTTGTGGGCATGTAATTAATGTTGATTTGGTTAAATGGATTGTAAGCAGATGAATCTAATAGCCTCTGGAACAATGTAAGCGAGAGTGGCGATGATCTTTCTTATGTGTTTAATGAAACAACCCCGGTGAAGTCTTGTGGGGATTTGGCGTATCAAGTTACTGATAATGGTAATTAAGTAATTGCATTTAAGGGGATGCATTTCTGTTTTAGCCGTAATTATGATTCTTTTTCTTTGAAGTATATAGTAATAGTTTATATACAGCAAAACGCATATACACCTCTCATCATTGGTGAGATTTGAACCCTTGACCTCCATGGATATTGGGCCCTATTGCCATTGGTAACCTTGGATACAGGATACCACTGTGCCAATGATCCCTTGGTGTAATTATGATTATTGTTATCTGACACAAGTGCTTAAACAGAAAACATAAACAAGGGAATGGAGATGTGTAGGGAAGCGTCTTCCCAAGCAAAGAGACGCCGAATGCTGCATTTTGAGGATGAAGTTCTAGATGTAGATGTTCTTCCGCTTTGTGATGAGGATTTCTCATCCACTTTTTTAAAGTCTAAGGTTGGTATCGGGCTGCCCATTGCAAATCCGTTAGTTTTTTTTTTGTTATTTTGTGCTAATTTTTCTACAGGAAGTTATGTGCTTAACCACACTTGTTCTGTTCTTATGGTTAGGCGAGGGAAGACTCGTTGGATGGGGCATTTTCTGATATGGCACAATGGGTGTCTGGATTTGCTGGTTCGACTCTTGAAACCTTGTGTGCATCATTTAAGAATGTTTACTCGGTTTAAAGTGACAAATAGATTGTGTTTCCAGATGATATGTCTGCATCTGCATCTGGTTATGATGGGTTGGATCAATCTTCAGACGGATGGCTGGCCGATTGCCTTGTAAATGACTCGGGGATGCAATTTATCCCTGATGATATGTATGTTTCTTTTTATTTTATGATAAATTGGTGTCTTTTTATCTACAAAAGAGATTGGCTCAATTCATTATTTTGAAAATAGGAATTTATCTGGGACCTCCGATATTCAGATCAATCTTACAGGTACATGCACGATCTAACACTTAAACTTCTTTTATTTTTGAGCTTGATATTTTCCATTTTTTCCTAAACCTTTTCTGTTTGATTGTTATGTTAGATTCGAATAATTTACAACCTGAGAATGGAGGTAATATGGTGCCGGAACGCCACACTCCTACTCGCCAAAATGTTATTTTCAAAGGTTAGCCTTTCCATTCCTGTAGATTTCCAGTTTTCCTTTTAAATAACTGTTTAGTGAACCCGGGTAGAAATCATAAAGAGGCGAACAACCCCTAGGAATTATTATGATATCCATGTGTAAGTTCTGTCTAGCAAACTCGAATAGAAACCATAAAGATGTGAATAACCCCTAAGGATTATTATGATATCTATGTGACCACCCATATTGTTTCCCCTGAGTTTTTCTTGATCTGTTACCGCTTGATCAAGGAGTGGGATCTACTCGTTAAGGGTCTGAAACAACACTTTGTTTTGCTAACCAAAGCACAATTCAGTAAACAGAAAAGTAAGGGTTCAAGAACAGAAAGAAATCTATAGTGAATTGAAACATAATACATTGTTGAGCACTTAGGGTGCATTTGGTATGTGGACATGACTAACTTGTCCCATGTTTGGTGCGGCATTAGATTGGGACATGACTAACTTGTCCCATGTTTGGTGCCGCATTAGATTGGGACATGACAGGACTTGAGTGGAATAAAAATCAGGGAGATGAAACAAGATTAGTAAATTACTAAACTACCCATGTCAAATTAAAACCCTAAAACCTTCCATAATTCTTTCACCCCGCCTACAACACTCTCACCTGTCCGGTCCTGTCCAGTCTCGTTCGTTTACCAAACGCTCCCTCTCACTGAACACTCCAACCATGGTGATAGTAGGAGATGGTATAGTGAATTGGAAAAAATTGGCCTAAATGTAATTCTAACTAAAAACACTTAAAATACAACAATGGAAAACAAAGAAAGTCGGATTATCTGCATGCCAAATGAACATGAAACCGCGCTAATTTATTCATGGATTCTTGTAACATGTAGGGAAAAAGTCTTTCATTAAGACACCCACAAGAATGACTTCTTCGGTTGTTCTTCCGTTTGCCTTCGTGAAACCATGTGGTGTCCAAGGAGCAGTTACTCTTAAAGACATAAACCAGAAGATCCTCACTCCACCGCCATCAAAATCCAAGAAAACTTATGAAGATCCCACCATATCATACCCGACCTCTGCTTTCTCTGGAAAGCCCATCGTTGGTAAAACCAAAATCCGCACAGAAGGCGGCAAAGGCAGCATTACGATCATGAGAACAAAAGGATGATCAGATAAGTGCTTCTTTCTTTTCCCCTGTAATTGCTTCGGTTTTTCATGGAGCTATGGTTTTCTGTCACCATGCCCGCGGTCTATAGAAGTTAAATTAAATAGAAAGATAGTTTTATCTTCACATATGCAAGTGTTTGCATCTCCATTAGGTGGTAGATTCCTGTTCTATCCGTGAGTCGACCGGAATCTATTGGGATCTTTTTGTCTAAAAGATCCTTCTACCATCCTTTTGTCCTTAGAAGAACTTTGACTATGCTAATTTGCTCAATTAATCTATTTTCAACTTTAAATTACGCGTTACTTGTCGTTTGGTTCTTTTTTTTTGATCTCGCATTCATCCCGTACTTCCGTCCCAACCTTCGCAAAACAATGAAATCGAGAATTGAATTCATCCATGTATTAATTTTACTGCTAGTTGTCGGAGTACACCAGTGTCTTCCAAGAAACAAACGCTCCATTCTTTGGGGTAGAGACTAGGTTTGCATACATCACCCTCCCCCATTCCCCACATCCTGCTGAGTTGGTTTGGTTTGGTTTGGTTTATGTCCATCCCCTTTACGTCCCTCCCAATCTTAAGGCCGCCCTTATTATTATACTTTTCCTTGATATACTTAGAACGGGCACACACACACACACACGGGCAAGAGTGTTGATCAGGCTAGGTTAATCATACGAGCTTATTTGAGCGTAGACTAATTAATGTTGTGCATTTTTAAACCAAACCAAACGAAACTAACCCGGTATATGTTATTTAAGCCTGGGTTTGGGGAGAGTAGTGAATGGTAGAACTACTCTTTATGTGAAAGAACTTTGGCTTAGTAAAAAGTGTAACAAATATTGTGCACTTTAAAAGAGGCATGCTTAAATGAGCTTTTTAGGGTGTATTGAGATGGGAGTTGGTTGTTTTATTCTTTTGATTTCCTCCTAGAAAATGGGATAAAGTTAGAAGGATTCTTGCTTTGGTTTGGATTGGTTGACTGGTGGTCAGCTTTAGTTTAGGGTTAAAAAAGCAAGCCTCTTTATCTTTTTATGTGCTATGTGAAATAGAGGTTCAATTTTTTAAAGTTAGGGCTCACTGCTGACAACTATAATTTTATCATTTGATATAAAAAAACTAAATCACAAATTTTTATTCCTAGACTATTTTCTACTTTAAAGTATAAGAGACTAAAAGAATAAAGTAATCCTATGAACTGAAACAAAAATAAATTTTAAGGACAAAAAATACCAGAGGTCATTGACCTCTATCGGATCGAGGCACGAGAACATATGGAAGTGAAAGCCTCGATCATCCAAAAAATGATACCGCTGGACTTGGGGGGGGGGGGATTGGGTCCGTAGGGGAGCTCGCATGCTCGACAATCTCCGGTCTGCGACGGGGGAGGATTCTCTAGAAAATCTTTTCCAAATTCTCGAGGACCTCAATGATATGGGGCCCCTGTCGGACTCGTTATGGGAACTCCGGGATAAAGTCCGACAGCTTTAACGCCACCTTTTCAACCCATGTCTTCACGACTATAAAAACGTTACGATTTCCAACTCACAGAGACAAAACTCATAAATTTTCACAAACCACATGGACAAAAAATGTAATTCATACCATGAATCGCAGATTTTGTTAAAGTCCATTTTTCACATCATCTTGTAAAAAAAGTACAATTGTTCTAATTTATTGCTTCTTGATATGGTCAATCTTTAATTTGTGACAAGCCATTTTTATTTTAGTAGTGTTCAAAATGTGCGTTTTTGCAATGATAATAGGAACTTTTATTTGATTGAAGTTATAAAAAAAAAGTTAGATTTTTACTTTTTATTCTTCTCAAAAACCAGCTGTACTATATCAACTCTTTATTTATTTCCTTAAATTTAACAGTTATTGTATCAAGTAGAATGATTAGCACAAAAAAAGTTGTTTTGCTTTCAAATGAAAGATATAAAAAAGATTTGTGTTAATAAATTGTGAATCACCAAACTATACGGGGATATTATTCATTAAACCCTAAAATTTTGTCTCGTATTTTGTTCTTTAATGATACTTTTTGCTAATATTTTGTTTTTTAATGTATGGTTGAAATAAAAATCGTAAAATAATACTAATTTATTATTATTTTGATCATTCTATTACTTGGTTAAAAACCAGTCCCTGACTGAGTCGAGGGGTCGGGGCTAAATTGGTCTTGGTCTGAAATTTTTCTATTGTAATTAATTCCGGGTCAGGATTTTTTCTCTCTGAAAAATCAATTTTAAACATATATATAATCTTGTTTGATTTTTTTTTTGTATAATGTCTTAGGTGAAATAAAAATATTTAATTGAATTATTCAAATACACTATAAATCTTTTCCTTAAAAAATTTACACAAAAATATTATAAATGTTTCTATAAGGAAAAATTACATCAAAATGGAACCAACTTTCACCTTATTTTTATTTTGAGGAAACAATTTTTAAAATCTTCATTTAGGGGTCTCTATTAAACTTTTTGTTTATTTAATGGTCTAGTTGACATGTTAATGCTGACATAACCCAAATATTTTGCCAACTAAGATATTCCACATCATATTAATTTTTAATTTTAAATCCACGTTATATTTTAAAATTGTAAAATAATTATATAAAATTAACTAAAATTCCTTTTTTCAAAAATTAATGCGCTAAAATCTATTTTTCTTTGCAAATCTCGTTTTTTAAATAAATAAAAAAATTCAAATATCAAATTGAAGATGTTTCCAAATCTCGTTTTCTAGATAGAAAAAATTAATTTCAAAAAGATTTGGAAACATCTTCAATTTGATATTTAAATTTTTTTTTATTTAAAAAACGAGATTTGCAAAGAAAAATATATTTTATTGCATTAATTTTTGAAAAAAAACAAATTTTAGTTAATTTTATATAATTATTTTGCAATTTTAAAATATGACGTGGATTTAAAATAAAAGAATTAATATGATGTGGAATATTTTAGTTGGCAAAAGATCTGGATTATGTCAGCATTAACAGGTCAACCAGACTCTTAAATAAACAAAAAGTTTGATAGAGATTCCTAAATGAAGATTTTAAAAGTTGGTTCCCCAAAATAGGAATAAGGTGAAAGTTGGTTCCATTTTGATGCAATTTTCCCTATACGAATTGGATATGTTAAAACTCTTTATTTTTTTGGACCATGGTCACTTTATCGTCAATTTTATAATGTATTTTTTAACTTATAATTATTGGATTGTAGCCATAGGGTGCGATACGTACAAACCGCATAAATCACACTGCAACGCATCACATTTTACAATTTGAAGTTTATGCGGTGCGGTTTGGGAAAATATTAAAACCGCATATGTAATGCGGTTAGCGGTTTTTCCTCAAACCTGGCCAAACCGCACCGTAAACACCCCTACTTGTTACCATTACAAATTACTTGTATGCACATGTACATACAATTTTAGATGAACGGTTATCAAGCTGTTCCTCAGTTTTTCATTTTTTTTGAGGTTTTCTTTTGAACCTAACCCCATATATAACCCTAAACCATGCGACTAAAGTATCAGATCACACAATTTGATAGAGTGCAAACTAGTAATGAAGTTTATACCGTTAAACGAGCACCCCTTAATAAAAAATCTAAATTAAATACGTGTTGGAAAGTATATGTAGATAGCTTTAACATTTTATCTCTTTCAAACTGGTTTCCCGCTATCTTCTCAAAACCTTTTTTTAAGGAGAGAAAAGAAACGAAATGGAAGAAAAGAGAAGAAAAATATTTAAAAAAAAACTCATGTTTTTTAAGGAGAGAAATGAAACGAAATGGAGGGAAGGAGAAGAAAAATAAAAAAACGCATGTTCTCGAAACTGTTTTATCCAATCAAATATTTTATGATGAGTGGGTTGGTCGGATAAAAAGCATTTGAACAACCCAACCCAAACCATATGAGTTGGGTTGGTCAGGTTGAAACTCTGTTACATCATTTTGCAATCTAGCTAAGCGATTATGTTTAAACGAAATAAAATCAAAATGAAAACATATAAATAAGGCTAAGAAACTCAAAAAAGAAAGTTGAAGGTTCATGTAAATATTTCTGGTCACTCTTAGTCTAACCCGAATTTAATTAGTCAAGACGTGCTTCTTAGCATGTAAAAAAAATAAAAATTATTGTTGAAATTGTAATATAATTATGAATAAAGCTAATTACATGTTGGTCTGATGCCTAATGTACATATATTCATTAAATATACGGTTTAGAAAAAAGTCGGGTTGTGTTGAATTGGGTTCAAATGACCCTGATTCATTTCCAATCTAATATCTATGATTTGAAAATTTTACAACTTGACTATGTAAAAATTGTTTCGGGTTGGTTGGGATTAGTCGGGTTTTGATGCACCCATACATGCATCCGAATACTAACTAGTTTTTGCAAACAGTTAGGGGCCATTTACCAAACACTTACCCGATAAGCGTTTACCGGTAAAATTTAACACTATTGTTTACTTAACGGGTAAGATTTTAGTCCACCAAAACGGTATTGTATGTAACAATTTACCCGGTAAGCTTTTACCGTGGTAAGAGTCGTCGCCCTCACTTACCGGGTAAAACTCTTGGTCATTTTCTCGTTTTTACCGGGTAAAATTCTTGGTCCTTCCCATATTCATCTGATAAGGTAGTATGACTTGATAAGTACTTATCCGAAAAAGCGTTCGATAAACAACCCCTAACTCTTCCTACATATTACTGATTTGACGTAAAATCACCTAACTCTTCCTACATATTACTGATTTGACGTAAAATCACCTAACTCTTCCTACNACTCTTCCTACATATTACTGATTTGACGTAAAATCACCTAACTCTTCCTACATATTACTGATTTGACGTAAAATCACCTAACTCTTCCTACATATCATCAAGTAGACAAATAGTTTCTGTGAACTCACTCCTGTCATCATATTTACTTCAAAAATCTACTACAAAAAGTACTATGTTTATGAAAGCCGGATCATATTTGACTTGTGTAATCTTATAGAAATGTTGATTTCGTACAATGAAAACGTATGAGAATTTTGAAGGAAAAAACGAGCCTCGTATTCTAATCGCTCCACAAAACAAAATTTGTAACACATAATTATGAAGAAAAAATTAAATGCAAAATCTATGGAGAAATCAATGAATGTGGAAGAAGAAAAAAGTTAATAGATATCGAGAATTTCCAAGATGTAATTATTGCAGGTAGGACAGTTACCTCTGGAGACATGAAGTTCCCTTGTACAGCTCTTGCAAAATGTATGGCCACAAGGACCAAATGCTGCGCCCTTATGCTTTCCCGTGCACCCGCAGCAGATATGGTAGTCTCCAATATCTTCGTCTTCCTCCTCTGGCTCTGGCTCTGGCTCTGCCTCTGCCTCATGTTCCCCTTCATCTTCGACAGAATTAGCTCCGTAGTCTTCCAGCAACGCCATCAACGACGTCTGCGATTGTAGATTTATTTCTTCCGCCGCCGGAATTTTTTGCTCGTCGTCTTCTGGTGAGTTATTTTCGTCTTCCTCATCCGGATCGGTTTCCAACGGAAGTAACCTGATGCTCCGTTGCCTCTCCATATGCGCTACCTGTCGAGTTCCTTCAGCGTCCAAACTGTCGACGTTTGGATCGCTTGGATACCTCGCGGAACCACGTCGCATCATCATACGGTTGGTGTTGGTTTGGATAGGAATATCGGAGGCAGGGATGGGGACGGTGGAGGTCCACGCTGCTCCGGCTTTTTTGAGACGGAGCTTGTCTCGAAAAGCCTTCCAACTTTTCTTCGATCCAGAAGCTTGATCATCGTCTTGTAGCATATCCATAATAGTTCGATGTCGTATCCTATCGGAAACTGAGTTTTTGCCGTCCATGGTTACACCAGGTGATACCTTCGTTTCTCCGATCACAAACAGTGCTGGAAATCACGATTTTACCACCGTTTTTCGTCAAATTCAGAATTGAAACATTATGAACCCAAACAATTGAAGAATGAAGATTTCAAAACGTAAAATATCAGAGGGAGGGATAGATCTGAAAACATATATGATGTAAAGGAACAAAAGAGAAGATTGAATTATGAAGGCGAGAAGGTTAAATCAAAACAGAAATGAAGCAGAGGCCATGAGAGATGTTGTGGAGCGAGTCTCATGGTTGATCAGTCCGTTTTTTGAATTATTAATATATCATTTGCGTTCGTTACCAAAATACCATTCACATTCAGTTTCTAAGCCAAATTACATTTTGTTCCTCATTGTTGTCGTTAACTAGGGGCATAAAATAAAAATAATGAATCGGATGATGAAAATCTTAGTGACCGTTTATCAAAGGGAAAATTGCACCAAAATGAAACTAACTTTCATCTAATTCTTATTTTTGAAAACCAACTTTTAAAATCGTTATTTTGGGGAACCAACTTGCACCTGATTCCTATTTTGGGGAACCAACTTGCAAAATAATTATAGGAAAATAACAAAAATTCGTTTTTTTTTTTCCAAAAATTAATGCAATAAAATCTATTTTTCATTTCAAATCTCGTTTTTTTTAATTCAGATATTAAATTGAACATTTTTAAAAAAAATCCAACTTACCACAATAAAAATTGTTTTTTACTAATGCAACAAAAAAAATCAATTTAATAAAAAAAATTAATTGATGCAATAAAAAATAAATATTAAATATCATATTCAAGATTTTTATATCTGACCAATTGCATCAATTAATTTTTTTTCTATTAAATTGATTTTTTTTTTGCATTAGTAAAAAATAATTTTTATTGTGGTAATTTGGATTTTTTTTAAATGTTCAATTTGATATCTGAATTAAAAAAACGAGATTTGAAATGAAAAATATATTTTATTGCATTAATTTTTAGAAAAAAACGAATTTTAATTATTTTTCTATAATTATTTTGCAAGTTGGTTCCCTAAAATAGGAATCAGGTGCAAGTTGGTTCTCCAAAATGACAATTTTGAAAGTTGGTTCCCCAAAATAGGAATCAAGTGCAAGTTGGTTCCCCAAAATGACGATTTTGAAAGTTGGTTCCACAAAATATGAATTAGATGTAAGTTGGTTTCATTTTGGTGCAATTTTTCCTTTATTAAACGTTTATCATATTACATTATCTTACCAGATAAATATGATAAGACCCAAGAATCTTACCCAATAAGAGCAAGAGAAAGACAAAATTCTTACTCGGTAAGTGATGACGATGAATCTTACTATGATTCGCTTTTACCTGGTAAATTGTTGCATACAATATCGTTTTGATGGACTAAAATCTTGTTTCGTAAATAAATGATAGTGTTGAATTTTACCGGTAAGTGATGACGATGAATCTTACTATGATTAGCTTTTACCTGGTAAATTGTTGCATACAATATCGTTTTGATGGATTAAAATCTTATTTCGTAAATAAGTGATAGTGTTGAATTTTACCGGTAAATATTAACTAAACCACCCTCTTAATTTACTCTGTGATATAATAAAACAAAAAGGGAAAAAGAAAAAGTAAAGTAACTTTTTTAACTATAGTTAATCAGATGGACCGAAAGTGAAGCAAAATGACAACCATATTTGCTAAAATTGTAATTAGTTTAAAGGAGAGGCCAAACTTGATAATGAGTGAAAATCAAAAAGACTAAAAATGTAATTTACTCAAAATAAAATAAAGATTAAATTAAAAAAAAAACTATCCCTTGTTTGTTAAAAATTGTGATTTTTGTCCATGTGGTTGCTGACGAGGTTGTTTGTTTCCCTCTTAATAGTTTCATTAAGATGCAGCATCTGAATAATTAAGAGGTGAATTTTGTTTGACAAAAGAAAAGTCTGCATCTTAATAGTTCTAAAATCCTCTGAATGATTTTGCATCATGGGCTTTCCTTAACCATTCAGTGCCCTAATTTCATTGTAAACAATTATATTTCATTTTGCATTATATCATAAGAGCCTCTTAATCATTCTGACTACTTAATCATTGTCAAATATACCTTCATTGTGTTTCAGTGCGAGGGCTCGGTGTTTATCGTACCTTCACAAAGTTTTGTTGAAGTTTCAGTGTTATTTTGTAGTCTTACGAGAAGAGAGTGGTCTCACATGAACCTAACCCTCGTACCCATTTCACCTTATGATAAACAAGTTTTCAACATACATGTCATCGCTTGATTTTGATGTGACATTTTACCAAGTAATCAACAATTATAATATCACTTGAGAGTTTAACATTCACGTCATTGATAGTTACAATATCTAAATGTCAAGATGAATACCGAATAGGAAGAAATAAAGCATAGGGACATCGTTACCTTGTTCCTTACTTTCGTATCGTTACAATATCCCTAATAAAAGCTCCAAGATCTTCGTTCGCCGATCCACCATCACCGACGCTATCACGACAAATTTCTCGAAGTTTCTCCGCCCTCTCCATCATCCCGATCCTCTCGACACTCTCTGAATCCATAAACCGTCTTACAACCTCCGCAATCTCATCCCTCCTCTTAAAACCCCCCATCTCCGTTCTCGCCTTCCTTCCGACCTTCCAATCTTCAACAATCGCTTTCTCGTTAAGCGGTTGATCAAGAAATATTGGCAAAGTGAGCATCGGCACACCCGAAAACAATCCCTCCTTCACCGAATTCCACCCACAGTGCGTCCAAAACCCACCTATCGACGAATGCAACAAAACCGCCATTTGATCACACCATTCCACCACCATCCCTTCTTCACCACACATTTCTTTCAAATCCGCAGTTTTTCCTCTAGCAACCCACAAGAAGCTGACACCACTCGATCGTAAACCGGCTACGATTTCTTCCAATTCAACATCCGATATCGGTAAAAAGCTACCGAAAGAAACATACAAGACTGTTCTTGGAGGTTTAGAGTCTAACCAGTTTATGTAAATGGGTTGTGGATTAATGGAGTTGATTTGTGAGGATAATGGTATGTTTGGTCCAGCTGTGAAGATGGGTATTTTCAATCTGGATTTGAGGACATCAATGGCATCGGATTCTAAGTCGTAAATGGTGGATAATAGGAGAGAATTTGCTTTCTGGGTTACTACGAGAAGATCAGATGTTATGTCTTTAAGGATCCCCACATGAAGTATTTCCGGAATGTCTGCTACTGTGAATGCAGACACTCCAGGAATATAGTCTATGCACTCCTTTCCTCTTTCTGTTCAATCAAATCACAATATATCAGTTTGGATGAGTTCATCGGTTTTTTTTTCAGGGTTCAAATAAGGAGCAGGACCTACTAAGGACCGAGCGGGGTTCCATGCCCCCACTCACTTGATTATCATAAAAGAAAAAAGAATTAGGCATCATGAGAATGCATCCACGTGATTTTAGAAGTGCCCTGAATATTTTAAAACCAATTCTATAACAAAAATCTAAGCTAGGTGGGATGTATTTGGTTCAAGGACGGAACTATTTTGATGGTATAGGCGGCATGTGCCACCATATTATTCTTCTATCGAAGGGTAAACAAATTCAGGTTCGTGAAAGGTGCAACCGTGTTAATTTGTTGTGCCACCGTATGTATTTTGGAACTACAATAAGAACAAGTTTTATTTGGTATAGTCGGTTTGCAAGACTTTTATTCCACCCCAGACCCAAAGTGTCATCTTTTTAGTCAAATGATGTCACCATTTGAAAAAAATTATGGGTCTATCTCTGATTTGGTTCCTTGAATAGAGTACTTCCTATGAGGAGGTTCTGGGTTCAGTCCTCACTTGTAATAAATATGTAGTTTCCGGTTAACATCTATTCTCACTTTTATGTTTTTCAATTCTAAACACTTTTAAATACTCTGTTAATTTGATCATCATTCCCAAATTTGTTTCTACTTTTTGTTGATTAACTACATCCTCTTGTAAATCATGAGCTAAATAATTAACTTTCCTTGAATATATGAGTTCTTTTATCTTGGTTTGTTTCTATTTTGTAATTTGCTAGTTACTAATGTTGAAATCTTAGATGTAAAAGGAAGTGAAATAAGATGCATAATTAATTTTGATTTGTAAAACATCTTAATCAATACTAGGAGTTTTAGATGCATAACGAAACCTAATCGAAAATTTTAGAAAATAACATATGACAATCAGAATCAAAATACTAAAAATTGCAAAAGCTTATGAAATCAACCAAAAAACCAAATAAGTTCCTTGTAGTGATAGATTTCAGCTAAAAATACGTCGGACCTAAGACGTAGTCTTGTGTTATAATAAAAAGGTCAAGGTCGATTCAATTGAAAAATATGTATTGTCCCTGGAATCGACATAATTGGTTTTCCCAATGGATTAAACGGAGTCGATTTTTCCCACCAATCAAACCCGCGATTTTGCGGCCGTTGATCCACCTTAAGGATGCGTTTGGTCCACTGGACAGGGACAGGACAAAGATCTCTTTCTCATGTTTGGCATGAATTTTATGTAGAACAGAGTGGAACAAAGTGGAACATGCCTGTTCCACCCCTACCCCATAGAACAGGGTGGAACAAGGTGGAACAGACTTATATTTTTACCAATATAACCTCAAAATAAAACTTAATTATCTTCTAAAACATCAAATAGGTCTCTCTTTTACATTTTATTCATTTTAACTGGTTCTATTCAGTCCTGTCATGTTTTATCGTCTACGTACCAAACTCACCCTAAAAGATCGACCAGTTGAAGGAAAAGTTTTTGGTCCACCGGTGATTCAAAATATATACCAACAGCATGATAAAAGCTCGATGGCCGGCCCTCTGTTTTCAATCGAAAATCAATAAGAAATTAAATATAATTTGGAATAATAACAATCATATGTAGATGGTTTGATTCATGTAAGGTCAGATCGAAATCTATTGCTACTATTTTGATGAGATTTAGAATGGTTTGGATCAAATAAATCGAAGATTATGATGTATAACTTTACCAAATTAGCAATTCAGTGAGAAAGAACACCTGAATACCTGATACATCGACGCCAAGGTGATGGTGCGATTCAAGGAGATCAGCATGGTGTATAACGGAAAACATGGAGGCAGACAGCGGCCAATATGCCGTTACCGGAATATTCCTCTTGTTAGCAACGTCAAACGGCCAATACATATGTGCATCGGCTATAATGAGTTCCACCGGAATCTCCATCTGATCAAGCACCTCCTCGAAAGGAAGTTCCATTTTGGTACAAACGGCGGTTAGAAAAGCAATCATGTTGGATCCACGATGAAGCTCGGAAGGCAGGACGTTAGGTATAGTAGCGAACCGCACGTTAGCTTGCTTCAGATCGGGATTGATTAATCCCAGCCATTCCTCGGTGAGAACAACGGTGAAGACGGTGGTGCGATTGGGTTCATTCACTCGAGACGAGAGCAAGTTGCAGAGATTCAGCATAGGGTTTATGTGGCCTCTGCCTGGAAACGGCACCATCACCACTTGATTCATCTTCCTCTCCGGTTAATCGGAGAACCGTCGGAGTATTGGAAATGGTTGCCGGAGAATCAGATAAAGCTGTCTCAACAACTATTCGTCGATCAGTTCGCTTTATTGAAAACCGGATACGCCGGAAATCAGAATCATTGTATGAAAAATGCAAAATCTCTATTAAAAGAAAAAAGTGAATTACACTGTTCAAATTTTGGATTTCTTCTCCAAAACAAATTATTTATTCGTCATTTTTCATTTTTATAATACACTAAAATGATACTCGTGCAATGCAGCGAGATACATCTTGATTTTAATATTTTGTTTTATTTTTTTATCTTAGTGGATATTATAATATGGTTTTATGTGATTTTAAAAATGCAATAATATTTTTATTTTTGAATAAAATAAAATTTTGACAAAAATATATCGATATTCGTATCAAATTAACTATTTAAAATTTCTTATTTTTGTGTAATTTTTTAATTATGATTTAGTTTAGGCTCAATAACGAAGTAATTTATATTTGGTTTGATAATATAATTTTTTTATAAATATAATAATTAATTATTTTGTTAGAACTTGATAATTATCTTAATTATATTTTAGATTTTTTATATTTTAAAATGAGATGTTTATCCTTTATTTGATTATGTTTATCCGTAGTTAGTTACACAAATTCGAACATAGAGCTTTAATGTACTTACGCACAATTTACTTGTTATCTTGAATTTTAAGTACTTCATGCATAAAAAATGGTTTTTAAGAGTTTTTATCAAATGTTTTATAACATAGTATAGATACGGTCCCTCTATTTAACAAAGTTAATTAGCAACCATTATGAAGAACTAATCGATCTTTAAACAAACTATAAGAATTGTAACCTACTCTAAAATTATGTGATTCACGATTTTTTTTTTGATTTTTTTATTATATCCGGTCACAAATTAAATATCTTAAAATAAAGTACATATTAAATAAAAATCTTTATATTTATGTAAAAAGTGTTAAATTTGCCAAAAAATATCGTTACAAAATCTCAAATTTAGAAAAACAAAAGAAATCAAGATAAATTCACATATCTTTTGAGTACGGAAGTGAAATATGTGAGCAAAATATTGAAAATCAAGTTCGATTAACGTGAGATTATTTAAAATAGCAACAAAATAAAATTTATAAATTAAGATTAAAAACACTAATTATTCAAACAATTAAAATATTATCACCATACCAAAATTAGGTTTAAATAACACCAAAAAAAAGTAAACATCATAATAGACCATTTTATAAGACTTAATTTATAGTTACAAATAATGTGTCATATCTAAAGACATTAAGTTTATAGTATGTTTTTTTAGTGTCCTAACAAGTTTTTAGGACATTTATAATATAATATGTCGTATTAGCAATTTGATATGACACTACTTAAAAAAAATCCTATAAAAACAGTCCCATCGATGAGTTTTTAAGATGCTTACTTTTTTTGACGTCATATAAACCTAATTTTGTTGTAGTGTTGGTTTTCTTTGAATAATCAGTGTTTTTTAATCTTAATTTACAATTTTTTATTTTGTTGTTATTTTAATTATTTGTAGTTTGACCATGTATTAATAATCTCATGCTAACCGAACCTAATATTCAATATTTTGTTGACATGTTTCAGTTCTTAACCCAAAAGATATGTGAATTTATCTTAACTTCCCTTGTTTTTTAAAACTTGAGATTTTTTAACGCTAAACTTTTTTATAAATTAAATAGTTTTTTTAATAAATATAAATATTTTTATTTAATATATAATTTATTTTAAAAATTTTGATTTATAAATGGATATATAAAATATTTTTTTTAATAAAAATTTTAAAAAGAATGTGAGTCACATTTAATTTTAGAATATATATTACAATTTTGGTCTTTATAGTTTGTTCAAAGACTGTTAGTCTTTTATAATGGTTGCTAACTAACGTTGTTAAGTGGAAAGACCATAGAGTTATGGGAATGAAAAGTTAGGAACCACTTGTAGATAGTTTGTTTTAGGGATCAAATCCAAAATTTGAGCAAACCACAATCACATATTGTTTGTCGAAATTTTCTATTTCATCCTCATGGTTTCGACATTATAATTTGCATCCCTATGGTTTATAATTTATTATATTTTTCATTTTTATGATTTAAAGTTTATTTTATTTTTTTTGTTTTTTCATCATTCATATTTTCTAATTGTGTAACTGATCTCTATGCTTCATGGGCTTGCTCCCTTGATAAGCTTTGCAATTTGATTATTATAATGTATATACTGATAGATGTTTGTAGGACTCATTTGAGAACCTTATGATCAAGATTATGGCTGCGAATATCTTGAAATGGGAACATAATGTAACATGAATTCTGGTTGAGTTAGGCTTGGATAACTTTCCAAAACGGTATCATGTCCAGTGGCGGATCCAGAATTTTGGTCTAGTGGGGGCACCTTTAAGGTAGCTTAAACGCCCACCAAGTCGTCCGATGTATTTTAAGCCTAATTCCACCATTCCAAGAGATTTTTGAAGTTTTTTGGATTATTTTGAGGGATTTTTTAAGGTTTTCTTATCGATTTCGAGGAACTTTTCAGTTTTTTGGTTGATTTCAAGATACTTTCTTTAGTTAGTGGGGGCCCTGACAAGAAATTACGAAGGAGAACCATGGTAGAAAGTAAAAAAGACAAATTTTAACCTTAAAAATTTCATGTTTTTTTATTTTTTAATGGGGGCCCTTCCCCCCACCTTTTACATGGTGAATCTGCCCCTGAGCATGTCTACTTTTCCATTTTTTCTGTCTACATAATGTCATCGGTTCAACCCATGAATATTGTTGGATTACAAGTGATGTAGCTTTTATTTGAATTGTTGTGATCAGATCGGTTGATTTTTTTGTAGTTTTTATTTGAATGGTTGTGACGAGGTCTGTTGATTTTTTTTTTTTATGAGAACATTTGGGTGCTAAAAATGGTGTTGATTTTAAGTTGTCGTATCATGGATTATCTTATTAATTGGTGGGTATGAGAGATGGGATTCGTTTTTTAATTGCTGAATATGGACTGTCTTTTTAATGTTCATAATTCTTTTGGGCTACATCTTCATAATAAAGCGAGGTTGCATGCAATTTCAAAACTTCCATTTTGGTATTTAAGATATAAAGTTTTTAACATTTAATTACCCAAGTAACCAGTTGAAGCATTAACCGATTATCATGATAATGTGACGAGTGATGTGGTATCCAACTCAATATTATTTGCTATTTAACCCAATTTCATCTATTCACGCGTCACATCAGCATGGTAACCGGTTAATGCTTCAATCAGTTACCCGAATACTTAAATGTTTAAAATTTTACATCTTAGATACCCAAATATAAGTTTTAAGAGTACATTACCTAAAATAATAATCAAGTTAAAGTACGTTACTTTTTTTTCATGCAATTTGCCCTTAAAAGAACCACATGATAATATTTTAAAACTTATTATTCATGCTAAATTTAACCCCAGTTGATTTATGTCCCATCGTTGTATCACTTTATTATAGTTAATTAAACTAACACTGGACATCCGATCCAGTCCAATCCAGTGGATGCTTTGATCGGTTCGGTTTTATTTATTGGGTATTACTATTGGTTATCCGTTATAGAGCATATTAGGTTCATCCAATATTTTGATCAAAGTTTCAACCTATTGATCCACCATTTCAACTTATTATTCATGTATTTTCCTTAAGTTATTAAAAAACAATTAAACATCAAGTAAAAAAAAAATCATAAAATATTAATAATTACATATAGTTATTAATTGGATGGCAGTCAAATGATAATTAGATAGTCAATGATAGGTCATCGGATTGGATCGGTTCGTTTTAATCAATGGTGGGGTGTCATCCAAGAACCAACCAATCCGATTTGGGTGTTGAAATCTTGGATCTGATCCAACTCAATTATAACTGAATATTCAATTATGGTCGGTCGATTCCAACTGAATCGGTTGATCTAAATTGGATCAGATGACTTTCTGCACACCCTTAATCTCAACACTGATTATATATATATATATATATACTATATTATAAAGCATTTGACAAAAACTCTTAAAAATCATTCTCTATGCATGTAGTATTGTGTATTAATGTATATTACTTAAAGTTTAAAATTACAAGTAAATTATGCGTAAGTACAACTTATTAAAGTTCTATTTTTGAATTAATATAACTAACTACAGATAAACATAATCAAATACAGGACAAACATCCCATTTTTTATATAAAAAATCTAAAATATAATTAGGATAATTATTGAGTTTTAACAGAATCATTATCTTTATAAAATTTTATTGTTAAGCCAAAAATAAATTATTTCACTAAATTGTAAAAACATTATCTTCCTCAAAAACACATAAATCGTATTATATCAACAAAGACAAAAAATAAAATGAAACATTAAAATGAAAATATATATATATATATATCTCGCTACATTGTGCGAGTACCCTTCTAGTTATAGAAAAACTATAAGGGTACTCGCGCATTGTAGCGAAATACATTTTGATTTTAATATTTTATTTTATTCTTTATCTCAGTTGATGTTATAATATGGTCGTATCTGATTTTGAGAAAGCGATGATGTTTTTATTTTTGAATAAAATATAAGTTTGAAGATATCATAGAATTTTGACAAAAATATACCGATATTAGTATCAAATTAACTATTT